TTTCAAAGGTAAATCTCACTAATTTGGCAGTGAAAGAATCTTTTCACAAAAGAAGTCAACTAATGAATAGAAGAAATTGTGTTTTCTCTTTTCCATGTTGATCTCTAGCATGCATGCACACCTTGGTATGGGGTCCTGTATATTATGGGGATAATCCTGCATTTTTGTTGTACTTATGGCCACTTGCAGTACGAAAAGGCACAATTTTCCGAACTTTGAGGCCTCATAAGTACAACAAAGTGAATATGTGTCCCCGCGTGCCAAAGCATAATAATTATGAGGATTATGCGAACATAATGCGAGAATCCATGAAAGCATAATTCCATGATTTCGCGAGCATAACCCGCCGGAGCGTAGTGTGGATTAGACAGTTTTCTGGCGCAAGTCTTGATCTGTCTCATTTAGATCTTGTTCGCTATCGTTGCTATAAGAGAAAATCTGTCGTCGCGTTGTCATCGCATCGACAAGAGTTTTTTTTTGTCTTTTATAAGGTTTTATTATTGCTATTGATGTAGCTCTGAGTCTGAGTTACTGATTAGAGCAGGAAAAAACTAGTCTCTACTCTAAGAAGAGACATGAAGAAGCCTAGCAAAAGCTGCTAGTAGAGCAACAAAATATAAAGTCGGCAAGTTCTTGCTGGGAACGACGCTACATTCGGATCACTGGATCCATACTAGGCTCAAGCGATTCCTCAGGGGTCAGCGCGAAGGCAGAAATAGGCATGCGCGTACAGCCAGAAATGGACGTGTGTACACATAGGAGAGCAAGGGAAGCGCAACGCGAGCTGTAGCAGCCAGAAACGGATACATGCGCAGAAAGGGGAGCACACCGCTACATGCACGGCAGCCAGAAACGGATACATGCGCAGAAAGGGGAGCACACCGCGATATGCACGGCAGCCAGAAATGGATACATGCGCAGAAAGGGGAGCACACTGCGACATGCACGGCAGCCAGAAACGGGTACATGCATACAACAGAGAGCAAGTAGAGCACACTGCTAGCTGCAGGACAGCCAGAAATGGCTGGGTGCATACAAAAGGGAATCGCTTGGTGCCAAAAAGGGGCACATAAATGATCACGACTGATGTTCGTGACACACCCCATGGCCCACCAAGTAGGGATGTCCACAAAATGTTATTTTTTTCACCTAAAATGGAAATGTAAAATGTGCAGAAAAAGCCCAAAATGTTTTCGGGATATTTTTGAAAGTTCTCTAAAAAAATTAAAAAATTGTAAAAAATCACCCAAATTGCGCAAAAATGTGACTGTTGCCATGGCAACCAAAATGGCGCTTCATGTACTAGATCTGGCCAGATCTACGAGTCGTCGAGCCGTATTGCGAGAATAGCTACAGCTGTTACAGAAACATCGGTACCGCGGTGGAAATGGCGTGCAGCGAGCCAAGTGTGTTGACGGAGGTCCACTCCGACTCCAATGAGAAGAGCGAGGAAGAATCCGACACCATCTCCATGGTAGAGTCTTCCGGGCAAGCTACGAATGGGACTCCTGCGGCAAAATTGCTGGAAAAGTTGACCCAAAATGGAAAAAGTGTGAAAATTGCCCAAATTGCAAAAAAGTGTGAAAATTACCCAAAATGCAAAAAAATTCGAAAACATTTTGTGGACATCCCTACCACCAAGAAGAAAGGAGAGAAAATGAGCGAAAGAATAATTTGAGAAAGGTCAGTACAGGAAAGAGGAAAGGAGAAAGATGCTTACTGGTAGCGCTAGACGGCATCATCGTCAATGAGACTCTTCAGCGTAATTCTCTGCTTGGCTGCAGCAGTGCGCTATGGACGAGATGTAGTAGAGTCTGTGACGGCATCAGGTTCTGAGGCCACATCTGCTGTAACACCGGCTGGTGGTGTCGCTGTCGCGCTCAGTTCCAGCGGATAGAGTAAGCTGAGTGAACGCTTCAGTGTGCGGCGATCAGCAGTAGTGACAGACGCCGACCGGATCTTGTCGTCTGCACTGACATGTACTTCACACACCTTGCCCAATCTCCAAGATGCTCGGGGAAGCTGGTCCTTTATCAACACAACTTCTCCAATTGCAGGTGTACGATGGAGGACAGAACGGCCTTGGCTGTGATGGGTGGTGTGTGTTGAGCGTAGACTCAGCAGGTAGTCATTGATTGCACCACATGCGCCAAAACTCATGGAGGCGGTTCTGACCTTTCTTCCAACCGGCGAGTAACTCTTCGGCAGTGGTTGGAGTCGGGCGGAAGTCAGGGTCGTCACTTGTCTCCGGGAGATCAAAGGGGCCAGTGCTCTGGCTGATGGAGAGGAAGTGACCAGGTGTCAGTACAGTACGGACATCTTCGTCGATGTAAACAAGTGGACGGGAATTCACAACTGCTTCTATCTCAGTGAGCAGCGTGCTGAGGTGTTGAAGACTGACTAGGGATCTGCCCAGTGCCTTCTTCATAGCTTTCTTCACTGTGCCCACAAGCCTCTCGTAGAATCCACCCATCCATGGTGCTGATTCCACTATGAATTGCCATTGGATATCATGACGGGCGAAGTGGGACCTGACATCCTCATGGTGTAGAATATCGGGGAATGCGACTTCTAAAGCTGTGGCCGCTGCCTTGAATTGTGGCGCGTTGTCCGA